GGAATGGCTCTTCGAACCTGAAATGTTCCGGAAATTCTGCACATTGCCGATGACTCCAATGAACAAAGCTGTATGTAACAGCCAGAATGTATCATCCGACAAAAAAAGTAGTCGGTTTTTTGCTTCTTGTAATTTGAATTGAGCCACAGACCAAACACCATTTGTGTGTAAAGTGTTAAGATGGTTATACTCTTTCTTCTATTCGGTTACTACTGCAGGAATTTTGGAAATTTGCAAAATCCTTCGATCAGTTTTGTACGAGCGGAAATAAGAAGCAATCATCACTCGTCATTACACTCACTTGGAAGACAGCGAACATCAGAGGTATTGCTTGTAAACGAGAATGAGCAGGGAACAGCGTTCAACCTGAACATTTCATTAAACAGCAGTCCATGCAATGATTTCAGTCGACAATACGTGTACATAAACGTTTTTTTTTCAATCCTCTTTGTAATTAGCAGTTTGAGGGGATTTTTGTGTATGGAAAACGCCAGTCTGAAGAAGTGATGGTCAAAGACAAGTATAATGCGGCAGTTGAGATCAAGCTAATAGTTCACTCAGGAAAGGAATAATTGATGTAATAATAAAAGGGAATCGACAAACCCCTGGAAAATTGCATGGAAGTTTTATGGAATCTATGTACTGGGAAAAAATGCAAAATCTCCCTCAAAAGATAACGGTCACTCTGGACATGGCCGTAATTCAGATTAAGCTAAAAGCTCCCTCAGGGGAAGGGAGTGGGGTCAGCACTTATGTGTAACAGTGGACAGTGACGTCGGTATTAATGAGTGTGTGTATGGAGCTGTCGAAGGAAGCAGTTTGAAATAATGGAAATGATGGGTGAGTTTTTCTCAATGAATAAGTTGTCGATAAACCTTGTGGTTTAGATACTCATTTTAAAGTTATATGTGGGGGACGAAATTTCAGACAGCCTCCAAACTGACGGTAATCGAGAGTAATGAAAGAAAAAAGAAGTTGAGAATAATGCCAAATTTGGCAATCTATGGTCATCAAGATTTTCATGGATATATAGCACATGTTTGGAGTGAGCGATATAGCTGTTGTTTTGGGAAGTTTAAGGAAGCCAGTCTGTTGCGAGTTGAAATGAATGCAAAAAACAAGCAATAGTTCAAAGATTATGATGGACTGGATAAACGAGCTTACAATGGAAATTAGGATCCGGAGTACGATAGCAAGATGAAATCCCTCCTATTTTCTATAAGTAATCGCATAGAAGCACTACCTTGCGATTTCATTTTCTTCCTCGCACTGGGATTTACTTACCAAAAGCAAACATATTACTAAGTCATTTGATGTAGATTTAGAACTTCTAATGAGATTCAAGGATGAACTTAGAATCAGTCTTACGCTATCTCTTCTTTCTTTCTTTTCAAACACTGCATTATCAAATCTGGTGGAAAGCAAATGAGTCAATGTTGACTTTCAGAGAGATATTTTCTTGCTAAGGATAACTTTGAAACCTTTTTGGTAGAGGGAAGTAAGTGTTCGTCAAAGCCGGAACTTGATTAACAGACTAGGTGTATTCAGATTGTGAATGACAGAAATTAAGAATATTGAACTGCGAAATAAAGGGAATAATTGCAGACTGTTTGTTTGTGAATGAAAAATGTGGTTTATCCGTCAAAGGAGGACAAAGGAACAGGTATTGAAGATAAACCAATGGTAATGAACTCACTTCTTACACTTGTCACGGATCACGTGACAAGTGTAAGAAGTGAATTTGTAAGTAGTTCTCGTCGAGGAATCGTAAGTCCTATTAGGGAACCTTTTTGATTTTGAATGTATTGAGAATGAGTCAGTTGTAATGACTTTTATTCGCTGATAACCACGATACACGAATCCGTTCTGTTCTGTTCTCATTTCATTCTCGTCATCTCTAGAGAAAAGAGATTGTTTACATGTTTACAGGATGGTGGAAAAGGCCCACAATGTGTATCTCAACTGACCATCGTCCTTCCTGCAACATCGCTTGGAGTGGCGGCGTACGCGTGTCTGCTAACCCACAACAAGTGCTCGTCACTATCAATTCACCTCCACTCTTAATACCTTTTATTTTCTCAATTATGTTCGTCTGCAAATCACATTCCCTTTTTACTCATTACTTTCCCTATTTGGTATTTTTCTACAATTCTCGCTTCTTCCCACTTGTCTCGTCAATGACCCTTGCTTTACCTCACAACCTAAAATGCTGATATTATTATCATTTTTTGAGCTATCAATTCCCAAACAGCAAAATATTTCAAAAACGTCAAAGGTGTATTATACATTGGGTGGACGAAGAAATGGTTTCAATATTGTCGCATGTTGTCGCAAGTGCTTTATCCATTCGAAACTGCGAGTCACTGCGCAGAACAGAGACCGAAAGTGATGGCACGAAAAGCTGATTCATTTCTGGGTAACTTTTCACCTCGATGACAGAGCCGATTGACGCCTTTTGATTTTTCTCGATGCACTGAACAAGCCTACATTTTGATGTTTGTTCAATAGATTATTGCTGTGACATACCTGAAGTACACTGATAATGTGTATAACAATATGAATAAAAAAGTTTTAGACGCATTTGCCACATGCAAATGGTAGGAGTGCTATACATAGTTAGATGAACGCTAGGTTGCACGCACGAAAGTACACATGCTTGTATTGTAAAACTAAGGGATGGTTTTTGCAAACAAATTTTTTTAACTGAGTGCTTTATGAGATTTCATATTCTGAATTTTTATTCAAATTATTCCAAAACAAAATTTACAATGTAAATGATGGAATTTGCATCAAAGGTTGAGCACAAATAATTCTTTTAAGCATGGCTTCTGGCTTCATCACACAGAAACGAAAAAGTGACAGTAAGGTTCAGGCTGCAAGTTAGACTCAATCAAGCTGGGCCGTCATTCCATTCCATTTCGCCGTATGCATGAAGCGAAATGCAGAAAAGAACAAAGTACGATATTTTGATGCTCGAGAATACCATTTGTAGTAGAGAGAGAAATTTTAGGAATGGCATAAAAGCTTCGTCCTTTTTCACTTCGATGCTACTACTGCCTTTTTCACCCAGCAAGCATCGCTGTTAATCAGCAAACATCCCAACGAACCTTTTCCTTCCCAGATTGGTAAGAAATGGACACTGCCGCTGCTGAACATATCCTTTCATTCCTGCTCATTCAAACTTATTTTTTTAGCCGAATTTCCAGTTAAAGACCTCTTCGGGAATGAATTCGATTCCTTTCTTTAACTATGTATTTACAAGAACTGGCTTTGTCCAATACCTATTATTAAATACTCTACGACGGATTGATTCTGATTCGATGCACTCATTTATTACAAATTCAAGATTAAGCTCATTTTAGTTACTACCACTCCCAAAGTTCAGGGTTCCTCTCCAGCTTTCTTGGATTTGGTAAACATCAGCCTGCTGCTTTTTTCTTTTTTGATCAGACAACCCTGTAGTGATCGAACAAATTTTCCAACCCTTAAATTTTGCAATTAAAGACGTCTGAGTAATGATTCGAAACTGCCACTTTATTATAAGCTTAACCAATCCGAATAATTATTTTGAACAACGAATCTGGAATTAGAAGTGATGGATTGACTACGTTGAGTTATGATTTCTGTTTAACATATTCTATCAATAATTTCATTATACTCAATTTGAGGATTCGGTAAGAAATCAAAATTCCTTGGTATGAATAAAATCTTAGTACAAATAAATATTCGATGCTTTATGTTTTTCTTATTGAAACCGGTAATATTTTCTGAATTACCGGTGAACGTATTGCTGCTCTATTTTTGATAACATCCGCATTAAGCAGTGATAGTCTCAAATGGGTACGACGATTCATTGCAACACTGCTAAACAATAATTGGACATTATCATCTAACTGATAACAGGAACCTCTTCCACTTCTTATCACCAACTGAGTTTCAATGAACAGAGAATGTAGCGGAAGGTAATTTATTCGAAGAAAGGAAAGCCTGGAGCTGTTTTGTTTGTTATCCACTCTTTCTGTCTGTTTATATCAGATTGTTTGCCTATGGTTCTCCCATCTTGCTACATCCAACAGTAGCAACTCTAATCACACAACGTGGATAATACAGATGTAAGAAATATAAAGAAGTTGAGACACTTTTAGTTAGAAATTAATTTAATGAGACGTTACAGTGTTTGAGTCATCTGCTGTATTTGCAATTCTTATTCGTTTCTTAACGTGCTTCGTGCAGCTATTAAAGTACGGCAACAAATTTGCGAAAACTTTTCATTTTCGAAACTTTCTCAACTTCAGCGAATATCACTTGGTGCAATAGTTATGCCAACATACGATATACCACGTCCCTCTCAGGAAGCCGTTTTACGACTGGAATCTTGGTACCATGGTTTGCTGACCAGGTTTCGATCCGAATGTCTTGTTCAATCCGAAGGAGATTTTTTAGTAAATATACTTGAAGATACTATCTTCCTGCATGGATGTTAATTAGTGATACACATCGACTTTGGATATAAAAACCTGTTCTTAAGACAGATGGATAGATGTAACTTTGAAGAAAGGTCCACTCGTAAAGACAGACTGTTCTTCCATTAGTGTATGACAAATGATGCATAAATCATATTTATACTCAAGTACTTTCAATTCTCTTACTCGAATTGAATACAAGTATTTGCAAAAAATCCAGTGAAACAATTGATTTTTAAAGATAATTTCAAGCTTCAGTCTAAATTTTGACTTATTCTCAAACACATTGATAAACTGAAAGTGCCTTAGAAATACACTGAACTGTTGATTACTAGTTAAATATTACTAGTTACTGAACGCTACAGTCTTTCAGATTCAAATTCAAAAGATTTTTGAGAGTCAAATTTCGAACAATCCCTCAAATAGACAAAGAAAGTTGAAGTTCTAAAGAACAGTTCTCCCACCTTCATTCGCTTTTATCACAGGTTCGTGATAGCATTTCATTCAAAGGCGATTTTGTGTTAACAGTATTTTGGAATGGACACGTCGTGCATTTTCAAATTAACAAAGATATGTCACCTTTCAGCTCAAGTGGATTTTTTTTTTCAGGTTTGCATAAATTTCTGAAAATTATAAATTAATTTTTAGATCAGGCTTTCCTATATATATATATATATATATATATATGTGAGCAGAACGGAAGAACTGCAGATCGTTTTGTCTTCCAGCAAGTAGCGTTAACTTTTGTATAAAAAATAAATTCATTCCTGCGCTTTAAGAAGACGCAGTGCCGTGGAACAAAAGTACATTCATTTGTAGAGAGCAAAACATTTTGCTTAGGTGATCCTCAAAATTATTCAGCAACTGTCTAAACTTTCTTCATTTCTTCTTGAGTCAGTTAGTCTTTGTTTCATAAAAATGGGAGTCTTCATCATTTCATCACTAAACTGCTGTTTAAATTTTGCACTGGACAGTATCTCGAAAGTATTCATTCCAGTTTCAGGAGAGATTAATAAACAAGAATAAAGTAGGGTCCTGGAAAAGTCATGGGAGATGAATTGCTCAGTAGTTATGATTGTATTTGCAAAATAATTGCTTGCAGTTCGAAGAGGAGCAATTCGAAAATATACCAGATTTGGTGACATTTTATCAGGCATATAACAAGCCAATCACTCGGACTAGTGGTTGCATTATAAAAAATCCCGTACCTAATACGACATTTTTCGCAACTTACAATTTTAAGCCACAATTTCAAATTGATCAAAAATATATGAAAGTCCTCCGACCACGAATGCTTAAATCTGGTGAGTTTATTAATATTGACAACGTGTGGTAAATTTTCACTTGTGAATTTCGTGCCAACTTTGTATGCAGTCTTAAATTCCCTGGCAACATTTTGCATATGATCAGGAACATATAAATATTTCTCATTCTGGGCAAAATTCTGGAATTCGGAGTTCACAGATCCATCAAGATGAGCAATTTAAAAACATTTCAGGTCAGAGCGATCGTTGACTCAAAAGGTTCTATTAAACGAAACACGAAAACAGTTACAGTTAAAAGCAGGGCAGCCATCATCACCTGCTTCACTGGTACCATCTAACGATAAACATTTCTCGTTATCGGATTTACTCAGTCGACCATTACCAAGACCAATTCGATCACCTGTTGAGGAAGATCAAAATGAAGTAAACCTTAGAATTCCACTTTCCAAACGAAAAATTCTACCTCATCTTGAATTAAGATTTTCGATGCAAGAAACAAGTTAAACTTTCAAGGAATTCTTAAAATTTCATTTTCACTTTGTAAATTTTACTCTTTCAAATTTCAGTACTCTGAAATAGATTACGATGCTATGGAAAAGGCGACGATTGCAGCGTCGACCGTTCCAGAAGTTGTAAGCCCGTCAAGGTCAAAGTTGTGTTATCTGCAGGATCACAAATTGTCACTCACCTCATTAAATTCAGCAGGCAGCGAGCTGACAGATTCAAATAGCGCATTATCGTCAGGCACATCTGTGTCTTGCATTGAAATCAGCAATCTGCATTGGCGTATGCCAGGTAACCACGACTATGATCGACCAAGGGCATGTGGGGCCATATCCGCTATCAATTTGCATAATTATCAGTCACCGTTTATCGAACCCAATAATAAACCCCAAACAGAAGAGCTATTGGAAAAATTCAGGTTGGTGATCGCATTTTTTTTTTTTTGAGATGTGAAAAGGATACCCGGTGATTTCGCCAATCAGTACTGTCATTATTGATTTCATTCACCTCTTAGATCTAATCTTCTAATTAGCTATCTGGCAAGTTGCGCTCACACTTTAAATTTCAGTCCTTTTTGACATCACCAAAGAAACAGTCTCAGGTCTAAGTTTGTTACTTTTCAAACCCAACTATTCGTAAATGCAGTTGCAAAGCTGAATCTTTGATTGATAAAAGCCAAAAGTTTATTACCGCCTTATTTCAGACAGCTGCTGTTAACGAAGAAACCGGAAAGTTGCGCTCAGCTAATAACTACTGAAGATTATCGATTACTAAGACTTGGAAAAAACTTGCGGGCACCAATCAAGGTAAATGAAGAAACCTGAATATACCGCTCAAGATAAGTTTCGCCGAAAATATTGTGAAGCATTTACCAAGAAATTTAATTGCTTATAGTCTGACTACTGAGATAAACGAAAAATACCTGATCTCAAAGCAGCAAGTCATTTCTTGAAGGCCTACTTTAGGCCGTCTCTGGTTTGTCCTCAGCAATATTAATGTTTGATTTGCAGACTGATCAAAAACCATTCAGTTTGCTTCTAGATCTCTTTATTCCAATGCTGCAGTTTTAACCTTCATTCTGTCCTTTCGACCAAATTTGCTCATTTCAACTGTAATAAGAAGTGTTAATTTCATTTCTTACCGTTTTTCTTAATTTATAGGAAGCAACGAAATTCGAACAGTTAAATGGATTGTTACTTATTTTGTTGCCACATGGAGAAAATGTGCGGAATGATCTCCTGGAAAGGTTGATTGATTCACTTGAACATTTTCATATCATATTAGGTATCAGAAGAATATTACATTCATTTCTTTGTTATCATATCTATTCTTTGTTATCATACCTTATCACCATATGCATCATCCTGTCGCTATAATAGCAAATGTCCTGCAAACGAGACCGGAACTGGATGCAACCGGACCATTCATACTTTTACGATTGCAGTTATTTTTGATTTGATGCGAGGACACCAGTGATTCTAGAGGTTTTCTGTGATAGGTAAAACTTAATAGGTCAAACTGATAGGTAAAATTTGGGCGGTAATTCCCCTCTCAAAAATCTTCACAGTTGCAGACAGCGTTCGTTGCATTATTTGTGCATTTTGTCCATATTGTACCAGGCCCAATGTACTCAACGTTGGGTCATATATAACGCTTGGGTGCAAATTGCTCGTGCCTTACTTTATCAGTTTGGAATGCATTTTCCTTCCTTACGCTTCTCGACGCATTATGTTCAGAGCTCGTAAGTTTCAAAATTTAATTTCGAATTTATTAACTCATACGTTCCTGCTGCTATATCACATAGTCTGATTTGAATTTTTAGTCACTGCGAAATATCCGTAATGGATGAAGGCAACCGAGAGACTTCCAGGTAGAAGCTCTGTCAGTCAGACCGTCATGCCGTTTTTTATTCAGACAGTTTTCACTGCCAAAATTGAAATTTCAAATCCTGTCGCAAAGTACTTTCCTGCAAACATACATGGTTATAATTCTTGTCGTAATTCCAGTTAGCTTGCTTGAAATGACCAACTATATGTTTCACAAAGCCTGCACTCTCTTTCCTCTGAAAAGTGGGCACTACTACTCATCTAATGCCAGAGCAGTTTGTAGCTTCAGACGATTGAGGCTGAAATATTAAAGAGGGACGCTTCGTTACTGGTCTCTTCATTTTGTATACATTTTAGTTCAATTTACTGCTTTTTCTGATTTATTGCATTCTAGCATAATTAAATAAAATCAATAATTAAGTACTGCAGGTAAAATCTGTTCTTTCCGAAGAGTACACGTGGACATTGCAGCAAGAGCTGGAATTGGTAGCATACAGATTGCACCGGTGTGAACCATTACCACTTAGCTATCCACAAATAAACATACCATTTATGCAGCCACTCCTCAACATTTTCTCAAATAACCCTTTTTCCCTCGATGATGCGTGCAACGCTATGACGTGGGCAACAGAAGTGGGTAAGTTTTTCCGAAGGTACGTGGCATTCTATTATGTGATGCAATTTAGCGCATTAAATATGTCGTTTCACTTAGATGGCTGCGTTTGCTATGTCCAGATATTTCAAGCTTACTTTATTACTCTAACTTTCATATCTGCTGTGACCGTCAGTTTTTACACACGTGATTAAGAAAGCACTCGCGAGTCTAACAAAAACATTTTAGATAATTTGTGGAAATGGCTTCAAAAAGGTCGACATTGGGTCAAAAGAGCTGTCCAGCTGGATGCAAACAATTCGAATTTATGCAAGGAAGAGATATCCCACGGCGAGAACTTTCTAAGCATAGAATTTAGTCTGAAAGTGTTGTTTGGATCGAAAGGTCTTCCGATGAATATTGAGAAACGATATGATAAACTAGCTGCAATGGCGCAGGCTCTGAAGGAACGTTGCAGCCTTCATCACTGATCTTTCCATCGGCTAGCTAACAAACTGACTAGGTAGTCAAGCGGAGAAAAAACAGTACATTCCTAGCTAGCATCAAATCAAATTTTCAGTGAAACCAACAATCAAAAAACTTTACCATTTCTACTTGCATATGTTTCCAGTGCGTTTTACACAATTCCTGTAGAATTTCAAAAATCATAAAAAGAACAATTTAACAATTAATCGTTCACAACATTCAATAAGGTAGTTTGAATGAGTGAACTTACGCTAGTTGTTAACATTCGTGTTGAATAATGATTAACGACTGTGTTAATGACTTAAGTTTAGACTAGTGGTTGACGCCCTTGTTGATTGAATTCGCTTTTCGCGCAGTATGGAAACTGTCAATATTTCTTGTTTCGTAATTCGTTTGCTCCAAGTTAACTATACAAATTTCAAAAAAAAATAAATTTCGAATTTATACTAACATCTTTGTACTGTCTTTGAGTGGTTCAAACCCCAGGCCATTATATACAAAACAATGACGTATGCACCAGGCTATTTATTACATCGCACTATGTTAAGGAGAATGAAGTAGGTCATGAAGCTAATTTTAGTTTTGATTCAGTTCCTCTCGGTGTTGTTGGCTAACTTTTATTGCATATGTCATTAGTCTGACCTCTGACCTGAAATAAAGATAAAAACTATATGTATGGAACTATAAAGATGATTTATTTAAGACAAAAAGCGAAATGAATCGTGTTCGTCATCCCATTTTCATAAAAAGTCAAAACTTCGAGGATCCGCTTTGTCACACCAGTTAATTTGATTCCCAACTCAACTTTCGAACATTGGTTCGAGTCTTCAGCAGCTAATAGCTCCAGTACCCTGATAGGTATCTCAGTCATCGCTAAAGCTCTCGTAGTCAATGATTATGAATGCCACGCCTGCTCTAAAGTTTCAGTCACCGGCCCTTTCTACATATGTTTAACTGATATAACTTAATGAATCCAAAAGCCCGTAATGAATACGATAAGCTGTCCTTTGTGACACCAAATAATATGACGACTGTCCTTTTCAGCTAATCTCCACAGATATTTTCAGGTATCTTTGTGTTATGTGGCTAAATCCAGAGATGCTTATTAGGAATATCCAAATCTGTCAGCAAGTACTTCGAAAATTTTATGTCACAATCATCTATGCTTCCTTCAACTAACACACTAATACACATGCACACCCACACACATATATATCATAAATACGCGTCATAATGTCGCATTCAACCATAGCTACAAGAATGAGTTCATTTGGGTTCAATGGCAGTTATCAAATCTTGATTGGATGACATTAGCTACGGTCATTTTATATGTGCGAGTTTCTTGTTTTATATCAATTATTGGATTATGGGACAAACTAAGACAAAAGGGAGTATTTTGCGGTCGGAAGAGATTCCGGTTGTCAATCTTAATTTTCCTCAGTGATCTGCAGTCTGTGACGAATTTGCAGTCTTCTGATTTTTCTGGTCATGTTCCTGGTCAGACAGCTTGAAATCTTTTTTTTCTGCACTTATCATCATTGTTACTTCATCTTCCCAATTCCCACTCATTTCCATTTTATCATTTTAAATGAGAACCCATTTTCATCAGCAAAAGATGTATTTTATCCTAAGAAGTACACTTCGTCAAAGTTCCTAACAAATGTTAACAAGCAAAAGTCTCTGTTCAAATCTACAAATCAGAAATCAATACCAACTAATGAATCAGGAACATCTTAAGGATAACCTTTTCAACTCCAGCCCTTCGCTAAGAGCTTTGGGAAAGCAAATATATTAAATGTGCGATACACGGATCGATGGCAGGAAGAAAGGTATTTAATGAGTCATACCCATAACAACGTTCTCATCCATTCCGCCCAGAGTGTGCATTTACATTCCTTCAGAGGCGCTTACATGCACATGCGTTGAGGGTGGTCGGTCGATCAGGGGTTGTCTGGGAAAGTTGGTAGGAAGGGATCGAACTAAGAGGAAATTTGTTCTCAAATCTGTTCTTTGCAGAGAGAACGAAATGGAAATGAAAGAACATAAATGACGGACTTCCAAACTCCTTTGGAATCTTTCGATTCACTGTGAACTACTTTTCTTCGAGCTGCAGCACACAGGAAGGAGCGGTACGCACTCTCTTTTACCTCTCACTTGGAAGGTGACCTTTTGATACTAATCGAAGCAAGAGAAAATGTTTTGTTGGTGAATGGATAGACGAAAGATGATAGATCACTTTGTGAACGCGCGAGAGATAAGAGTGACTAATAATAAATGAATGAATGGATTGTGTGAGAAGGCACGGGTATAATTAAGGGATATCTATGATCAGTGGTGGGTAGATTGTGACACTGGCATCTGCATTTGATTCATTGCATCAGAAAGTGAATTCAGAGTTAAGATCTCTTCGAAGTACGCCATGAAAATCGATTAGGTCAAAAGTATACTGTCAAAAGATAGTTAAAATTAAAGAACCTGTTAGCATCTAAATTCCGAAAAATTAGAATTCTGCAAATTACATGATTCATAATGTAACTTTAACGCTATTTTGTGCCGATGCACATACCGATGAGAATATCCCGGCAAGGTTGTTGTGGGAAAGCGACATCTTTCAGATTTAACGTCGTATTAGAAACCTCTACATTTGGTGGCACTCGCACGCAAGCTATGTATGAGTCACTCAAATATTCAGATATGCGATCCTTTGAGTCTTGGTTTTAGCTGAATGACTGATTATAGCTGATGTATCATGGATCATCAGAAGAAACAGAAGAATGCAAATGGATGCTAATAACATTCATTTGTCCTCAGGTTTTGACCTGTATGGAAAGCAGGAGAGTGGTCTTAGAAGGTCACAAAAAGGTTGGTATTATCCATTTGTAGCCAGATGAAACCAACCAATTTAGTCCATTCCACTGCTAGGTGTGGGATCATCAAGGGAAGTAATCTTTCTCTGAAACAAATTCATCAAAGATTACAGCGAAATCGGTAATAACTAATTCTTATCAGATGTAATTCGTTAATAAACAAAATCGTCGATAAAAGTGCTGCGATGAGCAAGAGAATTCACACACCACCTATCATTTCAGGAAAGCTCAAGTGTTCCGGAAAGAGACATCGGAATACCAATTCCATGCATTTATATAAAATGAGTTAAAATCTGATACGCAGTTGAATGCGATTTCTTTCCGTTTTTTCGAAATCTTTCCACAGCACGTCTTGGCTTCCTTAATTGCTTCATACTCAGATATGCAAGTGCAAATGTTATTCAGTGAAGTGGAATTATTACAGACTGAGTGGCTGTTTAGATGTGTTAGAAGCAAGAACAGATACTGCCTGCCCAACTCACTATTTTAACCTCGTGAGAGGGCAGTATTGTACTGGGTAGCGACTGACAGCGCTTCAAGGTCTGCGAAGAAAACAAACTTGCTTGAGCACTTAGTCCGCAAACTCATACCCACTTTAAAATGAATGAATGGATTGGTGTGAACGGAAAGCAGTAAAGGAAGAATAGAAACTATGCTTCAGCCGTATTGAGATCAATCCAGAATCGGATCATAATCCGGTCAATTTGAGCTGTTTTACGTCAAACCTTCACCTTGCATGTTTAGAATAGAATCAGATGAAGGCAAATGTATATTCATCGAGGAGAGAAGTACCGAAAGCACAGCCAAGCATAAAGTGACAAGTTGGATGCGGGAGAAATGACAGTCGTCGACGAGCCAAAGGGAATATGACACTCGCCTCCATCCCCACCCACCACGGCACGTAACGATGTTCCGATTGACATTTTCCGTCCTGCGCTCTCTTCTCCCAGTACCTCGACACGAAATGAGAGATGTGGTATGGAATCTCAGCTCGTCTTCTCTGATCAGAAATAATGCAGACACACATATATATATATATATATATATAGAGAGAGAGAGAGAGAGAGAGGAAGTGGGGAAAATAGAAAAGAGAAGGGGGAGGGAGTAGGCATGGCCAGAGAAGTGGCTGCCCATGGAGATCCAGGCCTAGTATGACTTAAGGGAGATGAGGAGCGCTGCACATAGTGAGAGGCCCAGTGTTGTCCCTTCCTTTCCTTCCTTAATGCGTTCCATTCTGATAATACTCGACACTTTTCCTCCCACCAACTTCCAAGACTCTTCTTCACCAGCGGGCCAAGAGATCTGGGTTCTCTCGTACAATTCTACTGCTAGCAGTCCTCACTTATTCAATCCGAGGTGTTTGATGAAAGAAGTGAGCAGAATCGACGATAGATTCCATTGTGTCACATCGACAGCTTCGTTATGGTTAGTTGACAGCCACTTTCCCTTCCCATCTTCCCATCCTCTTTTTAAAACTTCAAGGAGGAATGGTTTTGAAAGTATACTCCTCATTTTCACCTCCTCTTTTCCCTTTAGTGAAATTCCGCCCCTCACTAATAAAAGTTGCGGTTATAGGCAATAGTAACATTATGAGCAAGTGAGTAATAGTGGCGACAGCACTAATACTCATGCGTTTATGTAAATGTGGAAAATAAATTTAAATTCAAAATCCATCGCAGTGTCCTTTTCTTTTTCTTTTCACTTTCCTAGCGCACTCCCAGAAAGGTTTCCTTTTCTTATTACTAAATATTATCAAAAAATATTGTCACTACTATTAATGGTTGACAGGTTGACGAGAGTCATTTCGCCAAGATCCCTATGACAACATAACTCTCTTTCTCCCTCATTTCAATTCCACTTTATTTCGTTCCTTGGTTATTCGTTGTGACGGGACAACGACCCCTTTAAAAAATTCAGTTTTTCAGATGACCGCGCCGAACTTCCAACTGTCCATGACTTTTAAAATTGACACTGATTACATGCAATTCAGTAAGTAATCTGCTGATTTAATCTGTTTTATAATTTTCTATGAGCTTTCATCAAAGAAATGAATAGTGCAGCGCTGAAGCGGAACTACTAGCCCCAGCAAAAATAAACGAAACTTTGATAGCTTTTTGTTGCCTCAGATATCGACTGGTTTGATCGATAAGTGATGTCGACTGCTGGAATATGTGGGAATTTTATTTGTTTAAAAAAACGAATTCGCCACATTCGTTGCAAAAAATTTTTCTCGACGACTTCCCTCTCCTCTCTTCTCTCTTCGCGGTATTTTTCACCGAAGATTGTCATTATTTGGCTCTCATTTCTCTTCTCATATTACGTGTAGCCTACAAGCAAGTAAGTATCGAATTTTTAAGCCTCTGACAAAATGCTTGTAACGATTGAAGCTAATTAAGTAATACAGAAAAGAAGTTCACTGTTACTAAATAATTCCAATATTGCTGAAATTCTAATCGTGTCTTACTCTTTCGTGTAGGATGCACGAGTAGTACGGCACGCTTCATGGTATGCGCACTTTGATGATATCCTTACAAAATCTCTTGGTTAATCTTGGATTTGCTTTACTCCGTTTTTCCTGATATATTTTGAAGACAAGAAAATTTAGGTATATTCATTGTATCAAATACGAATTTTCTGTCGTTTAGGTTTCACCTTTTTTTTCAACAGACCTTTTCCACCTCTCTCATCCTACCCATGACAAATCTACATTACCTGACTGGTGATATCCGCGACTGGATCCAAATCAAGTCACATCCTTTATTTGTAGTGTAAAAAGACACGGTCATTCCGCGCTTCTCCAATAGGCAAAATTATTAAGCGGATGTTGAAGTCATATGTCGTTTTTGCTGTGTGGCATCGATATGAAATTTCTGTAAATTCCTGCTGCAGCCTTTCAGTCCATAAGTTATTCAGTCAATTAGGCATTCTCATCCAGTCGACCATGTCACCTTGACACGCTGATTTCATTTTCATTTTGTTCCCTCATAGAAGCATTGTGACCAGTTTTGTTGCAGAGCTTTCGTATCGCTGCTACCGATTTCGATATTGAAACGTGGAGCACACGTATATTCGAATAACTTGTCACATATGACAAAAAATAGACGCCCATTTTATCAAACATATTCCTTATTTTACTGCGACTTTTATTCCACGCAACTGTTATACAAAAGCGGAATATAAGAAGACCGTTTCATTCCGGAGCACTAAATTATTCGATGAATTTGCTTCTAATTTCTTCCTGCAAATCCCATTCACATTTGCTCGATATTACCTCACATATGTCACAGTCTCTCTCTCCTTCTCCCTTTCCTTAAATAATAATCGTCATAGTGGTGAACTCTGTCACTATATTTGATTTTGCAGCTTCAGCGACAAATTTATAAAAGTTTTTTAAATTCAAGCTGCCAGAAATAATTTGCATAATCTCCAAAACTTACATGCATATGCGACAACTGCTTGCTGTTGAGTTTGCTTTTGTAGCTTATTTTCAAGTTTCACGTGGTGACGTGAGTCATGCTAGCAATGATGTGTCATCTACCGCGAAAGTGGTGCGGGAATGCTCCATGCGTGGAGTATGCGGACGCCGTGGCGCCATGCATCAAACGTGTCCTTATCATGGACCACCTTTGCGAATATCCGTGGAAAAACATCGGCAAACATTGGCATCACTATGCCCTCACCTGTTTCAAGGTTTAATTTTTTGTGGTTATTATTAACTAGGTACATTGAGCTCAATGAAATTTAGAGACATTTAATCACCGGCATAATTTAGCAAGTGCTAGAGAAACCCCGATAGATATTAATATATTATTAAGGGACCTAAAGATTAATGTGAAAGCAGTAAGGGAAGTGATACCTCTATTTGTCTTCTGCTTTAAGTAATGAAGGAGAGAGTCATGATCGGGTTGAAAGTGGCGGTACGGGGTTGTTGTTTCGACGAGCTGAGCATCCCCGCAGTGTTTACTCCGAGGTGAAAACAGGGGCAGCGAAGGAAAACATATATCTTTCTGCATAATGACAGTAGAGGATTCGAATTAATTGAATTTTTTGTTTAGTGCTTTCCCATTTTTTATATTATACCCACTGCTTTAATTTAATTTACGCCGCCTTAATTTAATTCAATTTTTCAGAAAAAAAAATTTCGTTTCCTTAATTTATTGCCTCCATAATACTATTCCTCTTCGAAAATAAGCAAAATGTTCAAAGAACTTATTCTTTTGAATGCTTTTTAAGAATTTGAGCTCTGACCATTTTTAAGAAAGAGAGTTTTAAGAATTTGAGCTTAACTGGAAATAACAAAGTTAAATTAAATGTTACACTGAAAACGAAATTCTGGCAAATGAAGCATACCAGTTTACGACCGATTGTCCAGCACTCACATGCCATTTCTTTAGAATTCTCTTATCTCTGAGAATTGAAATTCTGAATTTTTAGCTGCAAATTTTTCCTTTTTTCATCATATACTATACCTCTGTTTTTCGATCAGCCGATCGTTTATTGCTATAATGCAAATAGCAAACCTTTCTTTCCTGTTTTTACTAATTAATTCTCGTATTCAATTATTCGTAACATTTTTCATCAAAACATTCATCTATCGATTTGTGTGTCAAAATAATTGTTATATTTCTATGAAAAGCTAATAAACTCGCTTTTCATTAAAAATAAAGGGATTTCTCAAAATTTCTTTGGAAAAACCAATGACTAAATTTGAAGTACTGATGTGATATCATTTTTCTGCACAGTTCTACTTAATAATAATCATTAATAATAAGTTCTCTTATGTTTAAAACAGATGATAACTGTTTGCCTATTACGTGATATAAAAAGTAAATCGTGGTGGTAAATCATTATAGAGTAAGTAAATCATGGTAGTGATGGCTGTGAATATCTCGAGGATGTAGGTGAGGCTTATTTTATAGGAAGTGCTAAAACATGCCAGGACCTTCTGGGACACCGCTCTTCCGCTAATCAGAAAAAGAAGGAGTTAGAAGAGAACTTTTCCCGCTACCGTTTGTTCTCGACACCTGTTCTTTTATCTTTCGAGAACCCTTCTGTATTTGTCTGTCAATGAACTGTTAGTGCGACATTTCCGTGACATGTTTTGCGTATTCATTTCTTACTTGTACTGTTTCGATTCTCTTTTATGCTAATCAAAGAGAATCCACGAGGCGAAGTTGATCCGTGTGGATGCTTTCAGTATGTACCGCGAAGGAAGTGGAACGGAATGACTGATTCAAGCTGTCAGCAAGCGAATCAATGAGTTATAAGCGTTAAAAGAATTTGTGAATCAGTGAGCGGGGTCAGTGGCGGTACTGTTGACGGCGGTGCTGTGCTGCTGACAGCACATAATGGGTCAAGAGGGGTCATGAGCTGTGTTTATTTAAGTTAAAAGAGAAGCAAACCTACAAAGGAAAAAGGAGAAATACATAAACTAAGCAGTGTATATAGTTGTCGTGTCAATGATAAATTGAAATTGTCGATTGATTTACGGCTGTGTATCAGTTCTGGGAAGTGCGTTTGAGAAAATCCAACGTGACGACGTGAGTGAAGAAAAGCCATTAGCACCTAATTATATTTTTGATTTTTCCGTGATCAGGCTGTGAAGATAGTGAGGAGAAGTTCAGTAAGATATCTAATAAGTAAGTAATATCAACTCGCTGGACAGATTTTCAGGAAGCAATGAAGAATTCTGCTGTGATGAAAAGCAGGTGGCATTGTTGGATGCGCAGATGACATTACCACGGCAGTTCCTGTCGAGATGTCCAAGTTGCTTAACGAATTTTGTACAGTTGTGGTGTGATTTCACGTGCTCACCAAACCAGGCGAATTTTGTGCGGGTCATTGCATCTACTGATGATTTGCATCTCGTGTAAGTATGTCACAAGTTGTTCGTTGTTTCCACTGTAAAAACAGGCCTGGAAATGTCAGTCAAAAGGTCATCATTCAGTGAAAGTGGCCAACCCAAATGTCTTTTTACTCAAAAGCTACTTTCTCATAAGATAGAAGTTCTGTGACTTGCAAGCAGAATTGATTCTCTACCAAAAGCGAAGATGAAGGAATTGAATTCTGCTCGAATCAGTTTTGCTTTTCTTCTATTGCAACTTGCAATCAATTTCTGAGACTGAGTTGCCGATACTGTAACAGAACCGGTTGGCGGTTCACTTTTTCTGGTTTACAGGGAAAACAAAACGCAGTATGTGACAGAAGTTGCCTATTATGTACGGGATAGTTATGCAGATGGATTATTTCAGTCATGCAAAGATGTTAGTTAATTTTTATGGTATCTAATTTAAAAGGAATCAACTACGATTGCTTTTTGTAAGACTGTTATAGATAAGCAATTTTATTGCACTGCTTATTAAAAGTGAGAGAGACGTATGAATTCGGCAGAATTATCACATCTTACCACACTCCCTATTCATCTCGCCAATTACTATCACTGTAGGCTTGTCGAGAAAAAGCGTTCTCGCACTTATCTGAAGGAACTTTTTTCGAAATTTGAAAAATCTTTGTGATTACTGATGAAATTATTTGTTAAGTAATTGAAGAAAACGAAAGATGCTATTTCATAGCCACCTCGCATAATTTTCCAGGTAAATCAAAATTATGCAGCGTGAGGCCCAGTGCTGTGTTGGGGTTACGTGAACTCTCTGTTCTGACCTTTATTATTTTCGATACTGGTAGTATATTAGGACTTTATAGGTTCGAGCAATTGGAACAGACTATGCACTTAGTTTCATGTGCGGTGTGAGCATTACCGAGTGTGATATATCCCGGTGGTTCACTTTTTTGGGTACCTACAACGAAGACATCGGCGTACCCTTTCATATCACTTTCATTCCTACTCCTTTCTTACCCGAAGACCAATTAAACGTTCTAAATGCCACAGTGCTCGACATCAGGCCACCTACAACTCGGGTTCTTCTATGTTCAGAAGCGGCTCACCCTAATAGCTCTCCATGTTCGTGCCAGGACTGTTCTCAGTCCTGCGTCGCCGAATCACCCTTCCCATTTATCGTACAGGTGAGCACTGCTTCCATGTATATTCATCGTCATATGACACGCACCCTTTCCGTCTTTCATGGGTATTTTTGTCCTGCTTCTCGTGGAGGACGTATGCCATTCGCTAACTCACGGCAAGGTTGCTTGCTGCTCTTCCATGCTTCTCACGTGAAATGGGTAGTAGTGAAATGCTAGCTTTTTCTTCACGGAAATATACAAGCTGTCAAAGAGAGTTCTAAGCGGTTTCTATCCTCAACTGTTAGTTTTTTTTTGCTCACAAAATTTCTTCGTGGCATGATTTTCGTTTACTTCCTTTTGCAATATTTGTAAAAGTTTGAATCTTTTTCATTTGCAATTTTAGTGAAATCTAAATCCCGTAAAAGAGCAAACGATATTCGGGAAAGTTTCATGCATCAGAGAGATTAAAATTTTTGTTAGTAAAGATTAAAATTTTCATTATTAACTCTGTTTCTTCGAGTTAACGCTATTTCGTCCATTTCAGGAAGAATGTCAGATCGCATCCTTTGACTGTATGCTAATTTTATCACTGTTTGGATTTGGTGGACTATGTTTTGCAGTGCTGTTTTTCGCAATGATGCACCATAGCCTGAAAAGAAATCAAGATGGCGGCGATTTGAGTGATTTTAAACCAGCAGGTGGAACTTTAGATGATGCTGACTTGGGCGCAATTGATACGTTAGGATCATGGATCGAGTCACAGCTTGAATTGGTTTGCGCTCATTACGGACAGGTATTAATGGCAAACTCCGTCAACATTGCAAAATTATGAAGCTAGGGAAAGTTTCTCCCATTCATTTTTCTACGTTACTCGCAGTTTCTATTTTAATAATGGGTATGTAGGAGATACATTTAAATATGAAAAAAAATTGAATTACTCACCTCTATTTCCTTTAGCTATGTGTTAAGCACCCACTAGCAGTGTTTGCGTTTGGCACACTTATTGCGGTACTTTGCTCAAGCGGTATGCTTTTCGTTCGTTTCACCACCGATCCAGTGGAGCTTTGGTCATCTAGGACTAGCAGAGCACGTGGCGAGAAATACTTTTTCGATAGCGAATTCGGGTTGCTTTATCATGTTTTACCCTCTGCAGAGAGACTTTCAAATCGTTTCCATCCCTACAGAACACATTTTAAAATCATGTTTGCATTTTTTTAAAAGAAGATATTCACGAATGCTTACTTTTTTTTTCAGGTTCAATAAAAAAATTATTTACTTCTTTGAATTTCGTTTCTCTTCGAATTTTTTCAGACCACAGTTTTCACTTCCAAAAAATCAATTATTGTTTTAGAAAAAGTTACAGGCCATTTTATCGCATGGAACAGTTAATCATGTACCCACGAGATCAGTCATTCTGGTTACATGAAAATCAGTCGGACTTGTTCGAACTTGGATTCTATGGTCCAGCACTACGAAAAGCGTTTCTTCAAGATGTTCTTTCTTAATTCCTTTTAGTAATATTTCCAGCATTAAATTATATTTACTAGTGACGTCATAATTCATGCTTTATTATAGGTAGCAGAGCTACAAGAAGCGGTGACAAACTTGATAGCAGTGACAGATGACGGTACACAGGTGACACTCACTGATGTGTGTTATAAACCGATGACACCTGATAATGAGAATTGTGCTATCATGACTGTACTTAATTATTTTCAGGTTACATTTCAGTATTTTTATTCTGATGGATTAATTTTTCTATTAACTGTAATAAACATATCAAAATTTTATTGAGTTTGCTGCAGTCCTTTTTGTCAGTGTTTTCCCATACATATTATTCTATTAAAAAAATTCTGACTTGTAGTCTTATAAGCCAAAGCTTTGACAATTTGACCCAATATTATTGGCGCATTGTTTCAGTTACTGTAAAGAATTCAGCGTAAAGTTCTTCCAAAATTTATCCGAATTTATCCTTGGAGTAATTTTGTGTACTGTAAATTTACTATCTGTTCTAGATGCTAGAGATACGTTCTTGCCCACTATAAAGCATATATT